CCTAATGTTTAAGCCCCTAGATAGACAGAAAATTTTCACCTTTTGAAATTAAGAACTTCAGTGAGAGGGACATTATGAATACCTATTGTACTAGATAAGAAATGCAGTTCTGCAGAGTATCAATGCTTCACATGCCACAACTGAGAGACAGTGCCCTATAGAATATAAACATGCACCATATTACTGGATGCATGGCATTGTAAAATATTTTTCTAATAAACAGATGTGTGTAGCATGTTATATAAAAGCACATATTTTTGTTATCACATGGTTCTTACCTGAAAAGGTTTTATACTCTGAAATACATTGATGTTTCCAAAAGCTAATGGCAGACCTCTCTCTGTTCTGTAGCCGATTTAATCTCTCTGCTAGCCCTCCTCTGGAGAGAATAAAGGAATGCACAATTAAGCCAAGAATTAGTATTTAGTTTTGCCAAGTGACAAACCATAAGCAGCTAAAACATTTATTCTGTTACTCTTAGAGAAAGAGACAATGTAAAATTACATTCTATAGATTTGTTCAGACAATTCAGATTAGGCTACAATCCCAATAAAATGTGATCTTAATACAATAAACAAGACACACAAATTTTCATTATCCTGGCATTCAACATTTAAAGTCCCTCAGTCTCCCACGAATGTGAGCTTAAGAAAGTGTTTCCCTACTCCCTCTGCACTTCCACTTTTTTTTTTAATTTAAAAGAAAAACACAACTATAGGACAATTTTGAAAACGCCACATTTGTCAAGAGCAACATGCTGCTCAGAATGTCACCTTATCCATAGCTTTCACCTACAATTCACTTTACAGCCACTTTTCCAAAGTTGCTTGTCCTCTGTGTGTAAGTAAACTGAGACGGATTCTGGGTGGTGGAGCAGTGGGTTTACGGCAAGCTTATTCTTGCCCTGGTCCTGTACCACTCCTGAAAGAAGCTGGCATGTACAGCAATGGCTCCACAGCTTCATGTGCTGCCCCTCATCTACAGGCACTGAGCCCACAGCTTCTACTGGTGCCGGTTCCCTGTTATTGATCAATGGGAGCTGCAGGAGTGGTGTCTGCTGGCAAGGACAGCATGTTTATAAATGACTAGGGAGGAGTATAAATATATTACAGGCAGTCCCCGGGTTACGTACAAGTTAGGGACTGTAGGTTTGTTCTTAAGTTGAATTTGTATGTAAGTCGGAACTGGTACATATTGTAGGGGAAACTCTAGTCAAACATTTCTCCAGAGCTCAGTCTTATTCTCCCACACCTCACTTCCCTCAGTCCTTTATTCTCAAGCTGAGGTGTCTGCTGAGAAAAGCCTCTCCGCATCTCCCTGGTCTGCTGTGGGGGGCGCTAGCTTTGCGTCTCCCTGGTCTGCTGGGGGAAAGCAGCTAGTGCAGGGTTGCCTCACCCCGTTTGTAAGTAGGGATCCGATGTAAGTCGGATCCATGTAACCCAGGGACTGCCTGTACTTGAGAACACAGGGGAGTAATTAGGAAAGCAAAAGTGCAATTAGAATTGCAGCTAGCAAGGGATGTAAAGAATAACAAGATGGATTTCTACAGGCATTTTAGTAATGAGAGGGCGACAAGAGAGGGTGTGGGGCCCTTACTGGATGAGGGAGGTAACCTAGTGACAGATGATGTGGGAAAAGCTGAAGCACTCAATGCTTTTTTTGCCTCTTTCTTCACTGACAAGGCTAGCTCCCAGACTATTGCACTAGGCAACACAGTATGGGAAGGCGGTGGGCAGCCCTCGTTAGAGAAAGAACAAGTTAAGAACTATTTAGAAAAGCTAGACATACACAAATCCATAGGTCTGGATTTAATGTATGCTAGGGAACTGAAAGAGTTGGCAAATGTCATTGCAGAGCCTTTGGCCATCATCTCTGAAAACTCGTAGAGATTGGGAGAGATCCCGGATGATTGGAAAAAGGCAAATGTAGTGCCCATCTTTAAAAAAAGTGAAGGACAATCCAGGGAACTACAGACCAGTCAGGCTCACCTCAGTCTCTGGAAAAATCATGGAGAGGATCCTCAAGAAATCCATTTTGAAGCACTTGGAAGAGGGGAAAGTGATCAGGAATAGTCAACATGGATTCACCAAGGGCAAGTCATGCCTGACCAATCTGATTAGCTTCCATGATGAGGTAACTGGCTCTGTGGACATGGAGAAGTCAGTGGAGGTGATATCCCTTGACTTTAGCAAAGCTTTTGACACAGTCTCCCACAATATGCTTGCCAGCAAGTTAAGGAAGTATGGATTGGATAAATGGACCGTAAGGTGGATAGAAAGCTGACTAGATTGTCAGGCCCAATGGGTAGTGATCAACAGCTCAATGTCTGGTTGGCGGTCGGTTTCAAGCAGACTGCCCCAAAGATCAGTTCTAGGGGCAGTTTTGTTCAACATCTTTATTAATGACCTGGATGAGGCGATGGATTGCACCTTCAGCAAGTCTGCATATGACGCTAAGCTGGGGGAAAGGTAGATACATTAGAGGGTGTCATGGCTCCTTCCCCACGTAACCCTCGTAATCATGACAGAGGGTAGGAATAGGGTCCAGAATGACCAATACAAATTGGAGGATTTGGCCAAAAGAAATATGATGAGGTTCAACAAGGACAAGTGCAGAGTCCTGCATTTGGACAGAAGAATACAAAGCATTGTTACAGGGTGGGGACCAACTTAGGTAGCAGTTCAGCAGAAAAGGACCTGGGGATTACAGTAGATGAGAAGTGGGATATGAGTTAACAATGTGCCCGTGTAGCCAAAATGGCGAATGCCAAACTAGGGTGCATTAGGACGAGCATTGCGAGCAGATCTAGAGAAGTTAATATTCCCCTTTATTCGGCACTGGTGAGGCCACATCTGGAGTATTAACAATAAGAAGTCCTGTGGCCCAAAGGCATTTTATGGCACATGTATCTGATGAAGTGGGTCTCTGCCCATGAAAGCTTATGATCCAATAAATCTGTTAGTCTGTAAGATGCCACAGGACTTCTCATTGTTTATGTATATTCAGACTAACACAGCTACTCCTCTGACATCTGAAGTATTGCGTTCAGTTCTGGGTCCCCACTATATAAAGGATGTGGATGCATTGGACAGGATCCAACGGAGGGCAACCAAAATGATTAGAGGGCTGGAGCACATGACCTACGAAGAGTGGCTGAGGGATTTGGGCTTATTTAGTCTGCAGAAGAGAAGAATGAGGGGGGATCTGATAGCAGCCTTCAGCTTCCTGAAGGAAGGTTCCGAAGAAGATAGAGAGAGGCTGTTCTCAGTAGTGACGGATGGCAGAATAAGGAGCAATGCTCTTAAGTTGCAGTGGGAAAGGTCTAGGTTGGAAAATAGAAAAAACTATTTCACTATGAGGGTGGTGAAGCACTGGAATGGATTACCTCTGGAGGTGGAATCTAGTTGCTTCTTCTTCGAGTGATGTCCCCGTGGGTGCTCCACTACAGATGTCGGGCTCGTCCCGGCGCCGCAAACTGGAAATTTTTGGGCAGGGGGCTGGACTCGATGACCTCCTGAGATCTCTTACAGCCCTATGATTCTATGTGGAGACTCCCTTCTCAGCCTCTCTCAGGTGCCGCAGGGACATGCCTGTTATTTCCAGGAGCAGCAATTACAATAGAAATAATTACTGCAGCCACGACAGGTTAGGCATGTTAGAATTCACTACTCAAAGAATTAAATTTAAGCATGAGAGAGAAAAGACAATTATGAAATGCAGAGACCAGTCAAAACCCAAAAATAACACACTTTGCAAGCAGGAATAGAAGTAATAACAACCCCCCCACCTATGTGTTGAGTTGGGAGATGAGAGTGCAGGGCAGTTTGTGTTCATGAGAAGGACAGACACACACACAGTGTATGAGAGTGACAGATTTTCATTGTCAAGCTCCCTCCATTCCATTCTCTCTCTGTGGAGATAGGGTACGGAAGTGGGGACAGGAGGAACACCCTGACATCAGCACCCCCCTTTTCCCTCCCACACCCTGCACAGCAAGGACATAAGAACATAAGAACGGCCGTACTGGGTTAGACCAAAGGTCCATCTAGCCCAGTATTCTGTCTGCTGACAGTGGCCAGCACCAGGTGCCCCAGAGAGGGTGGACCAAAGACAATGATCAAGCGATTTGTCTCCTGCCATCCCTCTCCAGCCTCTGACAAACAGAGGCCAAGGACACCATTTTATCACCTGGCTAATAGCCTTTTATGGACCTAACCTCCATGAAATTATCTAGCTTCTCTTTAAACTCTATTATAGTCCTAGCCTTCACAGCCTCCTCTGGCAAGGAGTTCCACAGGTTGACTACACGCTGTGTGAAGAAGAACTTTCTTTTATTAGTTTTAAACCTGCTACCCATTAATTTCATTTGGTGTCCTCTAGTTCTTCTATTATGGGAACTAATAAATAACTTTTCTTTATTGGCCCTCTCCACACCACTCATGATTTTGTAGACCTCTATCATATCCCCCCTCAGTCTCCTCTTTTCTAAACTGAAAAGTCCCAGTCGCTTTAACCTCTCCTCATATGGGACCCGTTCCAAACCCCTAATAATTTTAGTTGCCCTTTTCTGAACCCTTTCCAAGGCCAAAATATCTTTTTTGAGGTGAGGAGACCACATCTGTACACAGTATTCAAGATGTGGGCGTACCATAGTTTTATACAGGGGCAGTAAGATATTCTGGGTCTTATTTTCTATCCCTTCCCTAATAATTCCTAGCATCCTATTTGCCTTTTTGACCGCCGCTGCACACTGCGTGGAAGTTCTCAGAGAACTGTCCATGATAACTCCAAAATCTCTTTCCTGATTTGTCATAGAGCAGGAGGCTTCCAGGGGCAACTCTAAGGCAAAGGGCAGAAGCAGCATGACAGTGGGTGGAGGGACAACTGAAGTGCCAGTGCTTGACAGATTCCCAGCCAAACGAGTCAGGATCAACTGTCAGAGGCTCCAAGATCTACTGGCAGATCCCAAATTACTGGCTGGTGACCACTGAGTTAGACAGTATGTTTGTTATATAACAAATAGTACAGTTTGAGATTTGTATCATATTGCTTAGCACTTCAAACTTTCTCAAGAAAGAGCACTTTGTGTGACAATTTAACATGTACATTCATTTAGCGACCTTTTATGCAAACATGATCAGTCAAGCTGAACTTGATACATTCTCTGGTGTCACTATTTTATCCAGTGAAATCCCTTGGAGAAACATCCAATTTAAGAAGCAAAATACATGCCCTAGTTCAGCACTTAACATGGAATTTTCATTGTAGGAACACCACCTTCCTGAGCAATGGTAGCTAAGTCTACAGAAGCATACTTTAATTTACCTAGCTGTTTTTACATGGAGAGTTAGGCTGGCCTACCTATGATACTCAGAGATACTGATGGTTCATACCTCTGAGTAGGAATGTGAAGGACTAGTTGACTAATCGACTAGTCGCTTCCCCCCACTGCTTCTATCCGATAGAGGCAGCAAGGTGGGCAGGGGAGGGGGGAGGGCGAGAAGAGGGGAGTACTTCGAAGTGACAGCGCTGCACAGAGCCCTGCACAGAGTTGTTCCGTGCGGCTCTGCTGCTTTGAATGCCACAGGGAGCTTGGCGTTAGGCTCCTCATGGCATTTCAAAGCATCAGCACCGCTTGGAGCCCGGCATCATCTGGGGATTCAGCTGACCCCAGGTTCCGCATGACGGTGGCTCTTTGAAATGCCACAGGGAGCCCAGCATCGGGCTTCTCGTGGCATTTCAAATCAACAGCACTGCTTGGAGCCTGAGATCAGCTGGGGAATCAGCAGCTGACCCCGGGCTCCATGCAGCACTGCCACTTTGAATGCCATAAGGCTAGCAACCCTAGAACTGTTCCTACACTTCAAAGGTGGAGGCGCCCAATCGACTAATTGAACAGTCGATACATCTATTTGATTAGTCAATAACCCGATACTTACCATTCTTACCCCTAAGTGCAACAGATATGTCAATTAAATTTTTAGTGTAGACTAAGACTTACTGGTCATTGGATCCGAACTCCAGTGAAGCTAAATTTAAAGAAAATCTGTTCTGCACTTTGAACATGCAAGTGTAATACAGGGGAAGCTGACTTCTGAGATGTTCTATTGTTTGTTCCTTTTTAAAAAGTGTTAGAAAGTCATGTTCATTATCTAAAATATCAAAAACAACCCCATTAAATATGGATCATCTAAGTTTACTGGTCCAGTTCATTTGAATTTAAGAGTAACTGTTTTTCACAAGTTATGTCCTAAACATACTTGATTTCTCAGCCACAGACCTTACTGCACTGTTCACCCACTGACAAAGAATTGTTTCAGAATCTTAGTTTCCAAACACTACCTCTCGTGGTTGTGAAAATTACATTCCGTTCAAATGTAGAGAATTTTTGATGCAGATAATTTTTATAACAACTTTGAAAAGCATTAGCTGCCCAATTCAGTCAAATAGGGTGTTAACTTAGAAAACTAATGAGTATTCTTTAACTGTCAACATTGTTAACTGTTTCACAGCTGATCATTAGGTTATTAATAATTTGTATTGCAGCACTGCCTGATCATTTAGACCCATTTGAGTACCCACTGTAGAGAGTACTGATACATAAAGAAAGACAGCTTAGGGAAGTCTGTCCAAGTATTTGTCTTAAAAGTCCCCTCTCAGCCCAAGAAATGGCATATCTGGACTACAGAGGCTATACTGGCATAGCTAAAATGGTATAGTCTCATAGTATAAAAGAAGCCTACTCAGACAGGTATTCAATTAGGATTGCAGTGTTCCTAGCAGACGGATGGAAGCTAGCTATGTTAATGAAAACTCTTTTTCCATCCTTCTCTTTCACATCCATGACCAACAACTACCTTGATGGTATAACTTTTCAGCATAGATCAGGCCCAATCTAATGGAATGTGTAATTTAAGCTAGATCTATGCTTATAGTTTTGATTGACCTGATCAGGGATGTGAAAAATGTATACCCAAGTCCCACAGTTATGCCAAGTTAACTCCCCAGTGCAGAAGAGGCTAGGTCAACAGAAGAATGCTTCTGTGAACCTAGCGACTGCTGCTCAGAGAAATGGCTTCCCTGGGAAAGGGCTAAAGCTAGGAGCTCTGCTGCTCCTGGGGTGGTGCAGCCACTTGGCATGCGGCCCTACCTCAGAGCAGCTGAGTAGCCACTGTGCGGCTCTGCTGAGGAGATGGGCAGGCCTCAAATTCTTGGTGTGCGCCTGCTCAGCTTCACACCCGAGAGGGAACAATGGAACTGATCATATATACTCTCTACCATTCAACATTATAGGAACCGTGTATAAAAGTGCTTCTCCACTTTTCTGTTGCAATTGCCTGGGGCTCTATACCACAGTGGGCTCTGTGAAGATAAATTACATGCTTCAGCCCAGGCCAGCAGGTCTCTGGCTGTTAGTAGGAGACCTACCATCTTAATCTGAAGTATCAATATTCTGTATTCCTATGTGCACTGGTGGTTCAGTTAATAAAGAGAAGCTGATGATGGAGGCTCAGATAAACAAGGTTCTAATGTACCTTTGTTCTTACTTCAACCCTAAAGCCTACCTATCCCCTGCAGTCTGACCTAAAAAAGCAGGAAAGTGGGAAAGAATTAATTTCTGTAAGGCATGTTAAATCACTATTAAAAGTGCTACACTTAGAGAGCTGGATCCAGTGCTTTTCTCACTTATTTCAAGACAGAAAATGCTTTCTCATTTCTTTTTTTACAGTTTGACTGTCAGCAGATGACAACATCTGAGTAAGTTTTTCATGTTCATAATTTTAACTTTAAAAGAAATTAATATTATAGTAGATTCTAGTGTTTATGATAAATGATAGTTAACGTTGATATTTTCAATTGAAGTTTTTCCTTGAAAAAAATTGTAATCTACCTTAGTAATTTCCTCTTCTTTGCAGAATCTTCTGGAGTCCTTGAAGTCTTATCTGATTGTTTCTTAGGTGTCTGCAGAAGGGCCTGTGCAGATTTTAGCCAGTCACTTGCAGATCTGCTTGTAGCCTGCACCAGATCTGGTTCAGAACTTGATTGCAGCTTTTTGCTAAATCCAAAATTGGAAGACTCTGCATCCACCTGGCCTTCTTCCAAGTTTTCACTATCAGATGAATATTCAGAAATTTCTGTAGAAACTGTCTGGACATATGAAAACGAAAACAAACATGGAGTATCAACTCTGAACATGCATTGACAGGAAAATATATTTGATTTATCTTTTGGGTGTAGGTTTGTCAAGTTTGTTGGAGTCAACTATTTTCCCTATCTAAAGTAAGGATGTTAAGGAATGGGTATTTGGCTAATCATGTAATCGATACAATTTGTATCGACTACACGATTAGTCGATAAGGTGAGGCGCTCTGCAAAGCCTGGCATCTCTTACTTCATTTAAAATGCAGAGGTGCAGCAGTCTCGGACTGGCACAAGCCAGAACCTAGCAGTTCCGGTTCACACCAGGTCGCAGCCCTAGTGCTTGCGCCAGGTCCAGCAGCCCCTGTTCTCAGCAGCCCCTATTGACAGTGGCTAAAGGTGGGGTGGGGGGCGGCGGGCCCCCCCCCCC